AAGGTGAAAAGGTGGAAAACCCTTAGAACCAGGGTGTGACACACACACACACATATATATATATATAATATAGATACTATATATATATATATACTTTTTTTCACAGGACATGAATTGAAATGCAAAGGATTCTCGTAATATCGCGTAACCAGCTACATATATTGGGTCATGAATTCTGGATAGCATCTGACGGCCTGGGCCTTGGAGATTCGCCAGTGGCCAGCATTGAGCTTTATTTCAGATGTGGAAAGCAACATGAAAGCAACACCACTAGTCGACACTGTGGGACTAACGGCATGAGAATGGCAGTGTCAAAGATCCAGCCGATCCATGGACTTGAAGGTATACAGTACGACCTTGGGTCGATTGCTTTCCCTGTTGACAAAAGCAGATTTGAATGATCCAGGTCAGGAATCACACCCAACAAAACACAACAACACCCACAATCGACTTGCAACTGTTCACCCCAGTCGTCACACGAGATCATGCAGGTCTCTCTTCCTTCCTCTCCTTCCCTTGTTGCTCTCCCTTGTTCGCCCGTCCTTCTCAAGTGCCATGGTTCTCTGCGCTTGAATCCTGGGTGCGACCAAACCCACACGTGACCGCACCGGAGCCGACCATCGACCGCTGGGTTCGTGACCCGTGGAGACCCGGACCCGTGGGAGTTCACGAACGAAAGGATGTGCTGTGAGAAGCAAATGCAGCCTGTGTTCGACTGTTCTTTGATGTCAACTTCTTTGACCCCGCAGAATTTGTGTTGCTTGAGAAGACTTGCTTCTGTCTTTTTCGGAAAAAGGTTTGGCCAATCAATTCTTGTGGTGGTGAATTTTGAATCTCAACATGTATATGTTATGTGTTCGTTTATGGAGCCTCATCATGCATGTTCTTTTGCCTTGACTAATTATTGAACGGCACTTATTGCACATGTTATTACACTGCACTTGTTATTTATCTCCAAGAAACATGTCTGTGCAAGTAATTACTTGTTGGTGGTGACATTGTTGCATCACATGGAATTTGAATGAACATAAGATAAGCTCTTGTAGGATGACGATCTATTCAAACAGGGATCAAACATGATCCGTATTGTTCCGTATTGCAGTATGTCTTTCCGTCTTTTTCTCTGTCAACATCTCCACTGTCGCTGTCTGAGCAAAGCAATGGCGGCAGTTGTTTCACTGCCACGAAGCGGGCCGCTTGCTCATGGCATCACAAGGCGGGTTCCGCAATCAATTTTCGGGCAAAGCAGTTGCCTTCTAAGTGACACAGGCATTCGATGCCCTGGCCCACTGCCTTCAAGCCATATGGGTTGTAGTACGCCTTGTTCGAAGGGATGGGTTACACAACGTTGGCGACCAGCGACAAAAAGCTTCGCGACCACTCTGGCCCAAAGACCGCACCAAACAACTAACCAAACAAACCAGCAGTCACAAAGGGGTGGTGCTTAATTCCTAAGTGAGTGGATAATGGGCACCCCTAACCTCCAATAGGCACCCCTTTGTGACTCCTGGAATATTTTTGTGTTTTTGGTTTGGCAATGCTTGGCACAAGAACGAACTTATTCCAGGTGACGTAATAAGTGTACCCGGCCGTGCACAGCAAGGCGAGTAGCAACGCGCCATAGGGCTCGTGTTGCCCACGGATGCCCGATTGCACCTCAATCTGCTCGCTGCGGTTCATCACATGCTTTTCAAAGCCATCGCCCAACAAGGAGGTGTGGATCATGTTGTCCACCTGAAGCCGGGCGATGGGGGAGGATTGCCAATTGCCACGACATGTTCGTGTTCTGTATTGTAAACTGATTTATATATAGGAGATCTTTCGTCCTAACACAAACTAAGCGATTCGAAACGAATTCGATCAAAGCACCAACTTCACATATGCAAAGAGCACATGACGAATCATCACAACGCCGAGAAGTGGATTGTGACCCGGTCCAGCCGGGCGTGGTGGAAGATGCACACCCTGCCCTGACCCTTGAAATCCAGGGCCAATTAGCCAATTAGCGGTTCAATTCATGGGCCATGGAAGAACATGCGCAAATGCCACAAGAGCAGGTCCGTTCCTCCAATTTCTCAAGTCCAAGTATTGTATAGAGTATAGGCATAGGGGCATCCCCTTGCCAATGCCTGCTTGCCTGCTTTAAGTGTTCAGACCATCGCTCTCCACAAAAGGCGAGAAGACAAATCCCCTCTCACGAAACAGTCACCGTCACAATAAAACCGCCTCGATGAGGAAGCCCAAGGCGGTGCTGTTCAAGACCAAGTCTTGCAAGTTATTGGTGGCCGTGAGGAATCGCGTACCCACTGTAAGGATCACACACCCGATGATGAACCTGAGAGAAGCGAACACGTGACCGGAAGGGAAGAGAAGCACGCGTAAGCTACGAAGCGATGATGAGAACACATGACCGTGTTGAGACGCGTGTTGTAAACAACATGATGAGCACCACAGAGCCTCTTTCAGATCTGAGGGCGCCCGTCTGACACGAAAACACCGAGAGAACTCAGCAACCCCACCTTGGCAGCAGGATCCCGATTAATGCGAAAAGCTTGTGGCTGATGGGTAGATAATGGATCACCAACTTGTCGTTCTCCATGGACGCGAAGCTTGGATCAACATTGCTGGTGGACGGGGTGTACCAAACGACATAGAGAAAGTTGTAGATGGCACGAAACTCGCTCAGCATCAGCATGAGCCAAATAAAGAGCAGCAAAACCAAGAAGGACACAAAGGCCGGACCGAGGATTGAGTCATCCTCACCTTTGTAGATCTGGACGGTTTCATATTCGGCGACATTCACCTCATAGGTACGTGCAAATTCAGCCTCGCCGCAGTGCTTGGAGGTTTGGTAGTGGATCCAATCATAGTCCTTTCCAAAAATCTTCGAGCAAAAGGATTCGAATTGGTTTCTGCACTCCTCAACTCTTTGATGTGCAGTGTCCAGCCAGGGAAGCATGCCGAAGAGCTTTCCCCGAACTTCCAGATTCCCACAGAGATTGGGATCGACTGGAAGGCATGCCTGTATCCGGCCATGAAATGTCTTGAAGAACTCTAGGTCGAGAAAGGAGACGGTTCCGTTGGAACTGCTCTTGGATCCTGGTCGCTTCTCTTGGTCAAAGATCGCCATTCGCTTCAAGACATGTGTCATGTTTTTGGCCATGTCACTACCCATGGTATTCAGCTTTGCTTCCAGTGCTGCGCATTCCTGCGTCGACCAAAGCCCATCCTTGTTTGTGTCCAAATGGTCGGGAAACATGGACAATGTCAAGATGGGCGGGACGCAATCAAAGTCGAAGTTTGTTGCATCATTCAGACCCTCTATGTCGGATGGATAGAGTGAGCCCACGTACTGCTGATGCTGTGAAACTCTCCAGCAGGCATCATTCATCAGCGTGTTGCCTAGATCCCCATAAGTCTCCAGCCCCACCTGATCAATCTTTATCGAGATAGCCAGCTGTAATGCAAGGTTCAGTAGGAGAAAGAGCCCTACCAGCCAATAATCAGAGACTCGAGCACTCGCGTCTCCCTCCTTTTGTATTCGCTCCATCCTAAAATATAAGGGTCCCCACAAAGCATCCAAATAAACATCGGGCTCTCCAGGATCGATGACTCTCACATGGCATTCCATCTCCTCTTGGCTTTCCGTGTCTGACACTAAGCGATCGCTTGTCTGACCGCTCTCAGCTGCCCCGGCCTTGTCATGGTCATTGGGACGGTCCGGAGCGAGCTCGGCCACCACTCGGTGCAATCGCGTGCGCATCGCGTGCGAGGTCCCGGCGGCGGCTGTGGGGCTTCGGTGACCTTTTGTTGACCTGTTGGATGATCATTCATGTGAGCAATCTTTCGCTATTGCAGTGCACGTGACATGTTCTGAGATGCTCATATATTCCAGTCACACTAAACTGGCATTTCAAGCAAGTCTGGGCCGAAACACTCAAAGGCAATATCAAACACTGAGACCGGATACAGTGGTTTCAGAAGCTGATGTAGAACGCGGTCACCATTGGCGCAGTTCTTTGGAGAAATGTCATGTAGACACCGCTCTTGTTGCCAACTTTGTTGGTTCAGAAGTTCAGCCAGCCAATACCTGACTGTTCTCGTTCGGACCGTCTACAACACGTGAAGGAAGAGACAGCGCAACCCACAGACTGCCAGGCCTGCTTTGACGGGGGTCCACGAATGAAGTCACTCTGCAGATTATGTATCTTCGTTGAAACACGCCGCGGTGGTGTAAATGGTGCCTCTCCGGCCAATGTTCCCAGCAAAGTCAAAAGACCAGAACTGTATGTCAAAAAGATTAAAAGTTACATAAACATACAACAAATTGTATAAAATCGTATAACGCTTCTTCTCTCCAAAGAATAAAGCACAGGCGCAGCATGTATTGTCACCTGGCTCCGGATCGGTCCGAGTTGCATGCTGCGAAGCAAGGTCGATTTGCCCACAGCGGCCGAGCCGTAGAGAATGGTGCCAGGGAATTCACCTGAACAGACGAAAAGAATTCTACAGCTCGAAGTGCCACTGAGAAGTGGCTTTGGGGGGAAAGTCGAAGGAAAGAACAGGACATATCTTACTTAAATGACGTGCTTTCTTTGTTGAATGTATTTAATTATTGATGCAATTATAGAGGTTTTGTTGAGATGCACTTTTGACCCATGTCCAGCTTGGCCTGTGTAAATGTCATTTATCTGCAAAGAACCGGCGTCCAAATTAGGGATGTCCATAAACATGAAAGTTGCATGTTTCCAGTAGTCTTGCGAAGGCAATCCCAACTCTAGATCACTTTGATGTCTCTTAAGATGGTCAAATGGACAAACGGGTAATATATACTGTAACAGTAACAACCAAACATCCTGTATCTTCAAGAACAACGCCAATCCAATCCAATCCAACTACTCTGCTTCCTGCCCCATCTCCATCCAATGTCATGTACTTGTACTCCCGTCCAAACGCACTCTCCGAGCACCCAGCGTGTGGCGACACGCAGCTGCCGCAAAGTGCTCATGTAGGCACTGCTGGTGGAAAGCCCACGCCTGGCCAGTGTCTACGCAACTATTGAACTATAATGAGGAGCTCAGTCTCAGTTCAGCTAATTAAGTGTGTCTCTTGGTCTGGCTTGGCTACTAGCTATGAGAAGCCCGAAACCTTTAGAAGGCACTTACAAAGCTTCTTTGGCAGCAACATTGGCAGTCACCTGATCGTTCGGGAATCAACTCTTCAGATCTGTTGGTCCTCCGCACTCTCCAAATCCCTGATTCATCAAGGAACAACCTACGAAGACCCAACAAGTGAACCAGGAAGTTCTTCGAAAGCTCCATGGCTCCATGGCTATTCAACAGGAATTGAAAGGGTACAGCCCTTTTGACGAGCCATGGTTTTAATACTAACAACCACAAAAACATACAAAAACATACCAAATAAAACAAAATAAACTCCTCTCTTATCCTTCAGCCAACCGCCATCACTCCATCCGACTCCATCAAGACTGCCACCACTTCCATCCGCCGATCGCGCCTGTCAAGCTCTTCGGCCACCTTCTGCATCAGCTCGGTGATCTCTGCTTCCTCGGAGATCCGCGCCTGGTCGGGTCGCGTGGGGGCCGCCGAACTCGCAGAAGAGTGATGAAATACCGAGAATTTGGGTCTCAATGCGTTCAAGGATGTTTCGAGGTCTTGGATGGAGGGGAACATTACAGGAACAGGTTTTGTTGGTGACAAGGTTGTTGCTGCAAGTTTTGAGAAGTTCTGGCATGTAGCCTCCAACAACTATCAACGTGGTCTACCTAGGCATTCTAGTGCTCGGTGGTCCTTCCCATCGCCTTCCCGAGGTCAACTCTTTCAGACACTGCCACTACCGGCAGCCAACACACTCGGCCACGCAGAAACTGCGTGGCAGACAATCAAACTAACTCTCAACTGTGTGAGCCTTGAAAACAAACACATCGTGCTGCGTCAGAGTTGAAGCATTGCAACATGACCTGTGAAATGAGGACCCCGTAGCAAGTCGGGAACCCGTATCAAAATCGCAAGTTTAAAAGCTTAGCCCTCTTCTTTCATCTCGAAACAAACCTTGCAAATCCTTGCAAGATCTGCGAGTTTAGACACCAGTGACACCTGTGGTGGCCTGTGACACCATGACCTGGATGATGCAACTCAAGCTCGTAGAGTAGCTCCAGCCTTCTGCCAGGTCTCTGCTTCTTCTTCCGAGACGCTGGGCGACGGGCTCGAACTTAGCTCCTCAAAGGTCATGATGGGCGCATCGAAACGAGAACTTGGTAGATTGGTAGATGTCACAAAAAAAGCAGGTGGCAAACAACACATAAAGAATACAGTAACTGGGCGCTTCTACAGCTTAGTACAATGACAAGTGACAAGAGACACAGCACACAAAATTATATACAAATATCTCGATATATACTCTATTCTGATTTGATTGGCCTCTGCGTAGAAGACTGCAAGACATCATCGAGTAATAGGGTCATAACAAACAGATTTCAGAAGACCTCACTCGACAGATTTGTGCCCAAGGCGCCTGCGGTATCGTGTCATGTGAAACAAGTTCTACACTTGATCATAGCCATAAGGCCGTGAGGCATGACTGCACAATTTCACTCCGGTCATCCTCTTGATGCCGTTCTGGGTTCAAATGGCTTTCTTTAGCCAAAAAAATGCTCAGCCGCAACAGCTGCTGCATTTGCCAAAGGCTTCTCTTGGCCTCACATGTTCGCCCTCTCTCAGATGTGGACATCCTTCTCGATGGAACTTCTTGCCAGTCTTCGTGATGAAGATGGCTTCCGGCAGCTCCAAGCTCTTGATGCGAGCCAGGTGTCTCATGATCTCCTGGTCTTTGAACTTGACCATCTTCTGCAGCTTCTCGATCTCGCCGGCCATCTCGGCATTGTCAGTGATCCTTGGTGTCAGCGGTGCTGGTCTCTCCGATGATGCTGCTGTCTTTCTGTCCAGCTTCATCTTCAATTCGGCATTCTCATCTTCAAGTTTCACTAGTCCAGCTCTCATGTCGCTGACCGTAGATTCGAGCACCATTTTCCTTGCATTGACCACTGTCATGTCATTCTTGAGGTTCTTCAGCTCGAAGTCCTTGTCATCGTACTTCTCCTCAAGCTTCTCATATTTATCTTTCCACCATTCATTGTCAAACTTGAGGCTGTCGATCTCCTGTTGCTGTAGGTGTGCATCTTCTTCGCTTTTCTTGTTCTTTCGCTTCAGCGTCTCCTTCTCGTCAATGACCTTTCGTGCAAGATCTTCCCATGTGTCTCGAGGACTTGCTTTCCTCTTCCGTTGGAAGGATGCTCCTGAGGATGATGGTTGATCTCCTTCTTGATCGACATCCATGTCGTCATCGTCGTCGGACTCGATCTTCACAGGTTGGATTCTTCTCTTCTTGCTCATCCAACTTGTCACCATTCTCTCAAGCATCACCGCCAAAATCACCGTGATGAAAATCATGAGGTACACGGAGAAGTAGCTCTTCTGCTCTTGATTCTCCGGTTCAGTGGATTGCGCATCCACCAAAGTTACAAATGCTAAAGTCGGCATCATTGCCGCCAGCATCTTCTTGGAAGTGGCAAACGCTGCCAGTCCCACAAGCACTGAAGCATGTGTCGTTCGCACCATGCTCCCATCCTTCTCTGCCTTCAGGATCATCTCCTCGTCCTTCAGCATAAGGTCGTGCTCGTCAAAGTCGATGGTCGGAAGAACCCTTGTCACAATTGGGTGCTTCTCCACTCCATGCAGTCAGATTAAGCCTGTTGTCAACAACATCAGCATCATTTCATGGACCATGGACTTGGTGAGGGAATCGGCAAGCATGTAGTTCGTTGGGACCAACGTCACCATTCGAACTCTGCCATCCAATCGTGCTTCCTTTATGGACAAAACGTAGAGCCGCTGTGTCTTGTCCTGAGGCATCGTCTTGCTGCCTGTGATGAGCTCATAGACATCTCTAGCATCTCCATACATGTCCAAAGGCATCTCTGGATTTCCAGCTGTCTGGATCTTGATGAGGTCCTTCAACGATGGAGGATGTTGAGGATGGAGCATCTCGCTGAGCCTGATCATACACAATGTTGCAGATTCCAAGGCGTTCACCATGGCTAGTGTCTCACCATGTGATGTGCTGTAGCTCACCCTCTTGGCTTTTGCTCCATGTGAGTGCAAAACATGCATTACTCCTCCATGCATGAGTTCGTGCTCCTCAGTCTCGCAGGTGTGCTCAAAGTCAATCGTGATGTTCCGCCATTCGTCATCGGCCAAAGCAATGACTACACCTTCCTGGGCATAGTTCCGGCCCTTGCTGGCTGCCGAAGCATCATGAAAGCAAACTAGTCGTCGATGCTTTGTCCTGAAGTAGCGGTAGTGCAAACCAACATCTGCAAACTCCTTCACCTTCATGAGCACATTGTTTGCCTGCTTCAAATCCTTGACCTCTGCTACTGTCACTCGTGATTGTAGTGCTGAAACATCCGCAATCACATCCAGCCGTGTCGCTGTCACCCAAAGAAGTGCTCCTAAGATGGATCGCAGATCTGAGACTTCTGCTGGTGTCAATCTGGAATCATCTTCTCTTGCAGGGACAGGTGCAGGTGTAATCTTTTCTGAAAACTCCTGCTGGCTGATCATGTAGCCGTCTGCAGTACGAAGGTACTCACAACCACAATGAGTGAATGGCAATTGCTGTCGTGTCACTTTGCCAAACTTCTTGACAAAGGAATCATATGCATCGTCCAGCCACTCAGGCGTTCCAGTGATCGCCAAGTCATCCACATGCGTCGTGACCATTGCAATGTTCTCACCATCCTTCTTCCATGTCCAACAGTTCTCATCTAGGTGAGATGGTTCCGCGCCGCTTTCTCGGATGAAATCATGTAGAGAAAACTGCCAAGCCAATGGAGCGTCATTCAACCCATAAACAGGCTTCAAACATAGCAGTCCATAGTTGTGCAACTCTCGTTCAGGAACCTTGAACTCGTCAGAGAATTCCGCCAGATGTCGCCAAACATTAAGTGGAGGAAATATCACCACCATGCGGACAGGCGCTTGAATGCCTTTCTTCTGCAGGGTCTTTCGGATCTTCTCAAAGTCAAAGCCCTTGAGAAATGCTCCAGCAATGTCCAAGCTTTCCAGGCTCATCTTGCGTGACCATGATGCTCTGGATACCAGGATCCTTTGGCTTAGCCTTGTCGCAGTCGTTGACCTTGTCGTGAGCTCTCCTTTCTGTCCATCCAAACAACCACGCGCACAAAGTCGAGACTTGATGCGAATGCTCTTGTCAGGATAGCGCTTTCGCTTGCGAACCCACCGTGCATCAATCTGCACGTACTCTCCTGTGATCTTCATCTTGTGGATCTTTGCGAATGCTTTCTCGTCAACAAACTGCTTGATCTCGTTGCGATCAGCTTCTTCAACAGCAGGCCAAATGTCGGCCGTGATGTCTGCTCCTTCAATGTTGCGAGTCTCCTGATCTACCTGGTAGATCTCTGCAGTTCTGAGGCATGCGTATGCTTGATGCGTCCTCTTGTAGTGGAAGTGGAACAATTGAGGAAGCTTCTCTTTCTCCCGGAGATGTTGTTCCACCATGAACTGATTGCATACTTCTGACCACATGTGACAACCTGTCAACCAATCATGTCCACAATCAATCTGAATGATGTGGTTCTCAGTCATGTTGACATGCAAATTTCGTAGAAAATCGAGCTCTTTCTTCACATTGTATATGCGCTGCCTCTTCTTCTCGGGTGCCATGACCACTGTTCTGGTCTCTGGTGCATCTCTCTTCTCGCCTCTGTCATCGGGAACGTTGACGTCCATCTTGTCGTCATCCTTGTTGATGGTCGACTGACTTGCTGGCTCTTCCACAGGATCAGGATGATAGTGGAACAAGTAGATGGTGCACATCTCTTCACGAGAGTAGTTGGAAACCCTCTTCATCTTCAAGAATCCGTCGGAGAAGTGCTCTTGCACGGCGTAGCCTTGTCCTCCATGAATCCATGAGATGAGATGACCAACTGTGTTCGATGGAGGCTTGATGTTCCGCAAGCTTCGTCCAAGTAGAGCTCCATGGACTTGATGCTTGCTCAAACCTTTGTAGATGTGCTGCACCCACAACATGATCTTCGTTGCATGATCATCCTCACGAGGGAAGAATCGCCACTTGCCATTTCTCTTCAGCCAACCATAGATGTTCGTCTTGTATTCTGTGAGGCTTTCGACAAATCTCATCAACTTCCTCAAGGCATCTTCTGTCTCCATGTTCGGCAAGGTGAAGTGGAAAATGCCCTTATAGGATCGGATGTGTCTGAGTGCTACCAGATATGGCTTTCCTTGATATTGGATGATTGCCACACCATCATCAGCGTCCAATCGTAGCAACAAAGCAGGTCCACGCCAACCAGGGTCGTTCTTCACCTCTCTATAGAATTCAACCTCTGATGTACCAGCAATGAGCTGGTCGAGGTCGAGCTGGTGTGTCCTGGTTCTGGCTGCTCGTGCTACACGATCTTCAATCACAGCTTGATGAGCTTGTGCAAGTGCTGTTTGCCGGATTCTCATCGCCTTCTCAAAGACAGTGACATCTGTCTCCTGGGCTCCAACAACACTCATAATGCCACGGCTCTCAGGATCATAGAAGCCATTTGGAAGAGTGCCAAACACTGCCATGGATGGTGTCACGCCACCGTAGGACAAGGTGATGTTGTGAGCCATGCAGCTCTCCTGAGCTATCTCTTCATTCTCTGGCGCGAGGCCTTGTCGTTGAAGTTCTGCTCGTAGCTTGTACATGGTGAGCTTCATCAGACCCACGTGTCGTTCCACCAAGCCAGTGCCAGTGTGCTGTTCGGCTCCATGTCCTTGTGTTGTGCCACGTGGCGCACGCTCAATGGAGAGTCGTTCAAACTCTGCTGCAGTCTCATGTGACATCAAGGATACTTGTTGATCGAGAACAAGTCGCCGAGGTGGTCCAAATAGAAAGATCCATGCCTTCTTAAATGCCGTCAGCAAATCGTCAGATTCTTGTCCTTCAATCGTCGTGCACATTTTGAAGCGAGTTGCTTCATCACAAAGAAGCATGAACCAGGTGTTCTCCCACATGAATAGGTCCATCTGTACTGATTCATTGAAACTGCTTGCTCCTCGTGCTCGAACTTGTGGACGATTGGGAAGTCTGACATACTTCCTGCAGATGGCACAGCATTGAACCGCCTCAGTCGCCAACTTGATGACTTCAGGTGACATTCCAGCTTTCTGTAGTAAGTTCGTAAAGTCGGAGATCGGAGAATGCCAAAGCCGCTCGTGAAGACCAAGTAGGAGTTGCTTGACCTTCGTGTGGTTCTCGTCTTCCATGAGCTTAGGAATGCGAACCAACACTCTTCGCAAGTTGTAGTTCGGCTTCAATGGCTTGATCTCCTCAACTGACTTTGTCTGCAGTTCTTCATCTTCATAAGGTGCAATCTGAGTTGGATCTCGTTCAGCTGGGTCTCCTGGTCGATCGAGTACTACTGGAGGTGTCAAGGGTGCTCTCTTGAGATCAGCTATGCTCTTCTCATCCATCTCGTCGAGGTTCTGGGCAGGCTGCACGATACCAGGTTCATCAGGTCTTGTTCTTGGCCTTGATGCTGGTGTTGATGGCGAAGGTGCCATATCGTGCTCCACTCCATAGATGGTGATTGCCCAGTCATCCTCGTCGAGTGCTGCGTTGATCTGGCTGAAACTCATCTCTCGCAAATCTTCTGGAGGGTGAATGTCCCATGCTTTCACATTGCCTCTCACTTGCATCCGTAGGTATGATGATGTCAATGGAAGCTTCGGCTCTGCTGATGCAAGATGGAAAGGTCGGAGTTAAATCTTCACTGCTTTGACTTGGATCAGGTCCTTGAAGAACTCCTTGAAGAGGCTCATAAGCATAGGATTGTCCAGCCAGTGAACATAGTCGATCTTTCTCCTTGCTGCTTCATTGAAGACACCCATAGTGGCATTGATGGTTTCGAGGAGGAGCTTCTTGAGCATGTGTGTAGTTGGCACGGAGAGCGCTTTGCTGGTAAGGTTCTTGATCTCCACGCCCTCATAGAGCTCCGCCTCGGCTTCTTGCTTCCACTTCTTCATGGCATCCATTTCAGCTTCAAGCTTCTTCTTTCTTCGTGGATTTTCTTCGGATGGCCATCGTCCATGTCGACACTGTCCAGGCACCAAAGTGTGCTCTATGTTGCGAGGACAATGACGTCCAAGCTGGCATCGGACACAATCATAGTAGTGACCAAGCGTCACTGCGTAAGCATCATGTGGCCAAGTTTTCAGCTTGAGTAGGTTCATGTAGGCCAGGTACTGGATGATGTCCTGCTTCATGCGTTGGCACATTCCTTTTGGGTAGACTGCTGACATCGAAGTCCTGGTCAGACCAGATGGGCCTGTGCCTTTGAGCTGAGTGTGTGGAACACCGCAATGACCTCCGCATCGAAGTCCAGTGTGCTTCCAACGGATGTTGGATCCAAAGCCAGTGGGCTTCATGATGGGGTAGCCGTGTTCATCTTGGGCTCCATGCATGCACTGGTCCACTCTCTGTCTGCTCTTGTTGCCAGGAATTCGTTGCAGTCGTAGAGGATTCTCTGGAAGTTCTTGCCATGATTGTGCTCCATAAGGTTGTTCTATGTTGTAGCCACGGCCATTGGCATCTTGTCGCGCAGAAAGATCTTGACATAGTTGTAGTGCTGGTCTATCTTGTAGACGTTCACACATCTTCTCATCAGGATCTTTCGTAGATGCCGCAACTGACCATGGTGCACAGTCCGGAGACATATGAAGCACTCCAGGTTGGAACTCTTCGTAAGCTGCGTGGATCATGCCACGATGGCTTGCTACCCGCATGTCCCAGCCGTACCGATAGTCGACGGGGAAACCAACCATGAGTCCAGCAAGAAGCAACGTCAGCGACAATCTTCCACTGCCACTGAACAACTCCCAGAAGTGCCATCGCAATCCTCGTCCTCGAACTCTCTTGAACCAGCTGTCAAAGTTCTTGGGAGTCACCGGCGTCAATCCGCTCTTGGTGTAGAACTCCTCAGGGATTGCTTTGTATCGTTTCTTCAACTTGGCTTGATCTGCCGTCTCGGGGATCATATCGCCAGTGTAGCTGAGGAAGACGTTCTTCTCTTCATCATAGCTTGCCTCACGTAGGCCTTGTTCATCATGAATTGCCGGGGCCAAAATGGCAGGTCCGGCAGGGTGCTCGTTGATCAAGTGGTTTGAATTCTTCGCAGGCTCTTTGCTCTTGTCGTTCTTCGTGCACTGCTCTGCCAAAATGGCTGATGGTGAAACTTCGTCCTCGGAGTCGCGCTCTTCTGCAATTGGTGATAGGCTCTTGTTCTTCTCGCTGTTCATGAGGTCGTAGGGCTCCTCGGACTTCTTCTGCTGTTCCTCATCAATGAAGTGAATCTTCCTGGAAGGAACAGGATTCCGTAGTTCATCTTCTTCTCCATTCTCGCAAGCCAAATGATCACAACCAACATCATGATCTTGCCTCTTCATTGGGCCTGTGTCTCGTTCATGTTCACGATTGTAATCACACCGGTCATCCTCTGCCGCCGTCTGGGAATGGAAGCAGTGTCTGACCCGTGGTTGCACGTCAGGCCAAACTTTCGAAGTGATCTCGGTGATCTTCTGGAAGAAAGCGATGGCCTCGTGCTTCGAAGCTCTTGGAACCTTCTCGTTCTGAACGTTGTCACAAGGCAAGATGTAGTGTCCAGAATCTGTGAGCAGGATCCTAAAGAACTTCGCGTGATTGACCTCTGCATCCATGGCGTCCTTGGTGTTCAGAACAAGCATACCATCACCATTCTCAAACCAATCTGTCAAGATTGATGCACCCAATCGACGAAGAGTCGGGTTGCCAACCAGTGCTGGGCATAGGCTTCCAGCTCCACCAATGACCTCCGCCGTGTAGGTGATGGGTTGTCCTGCGGTCGCCATGGTCAACGTGACCTCTCCGAGAGTTGACTCGCTGTTTCCTGAAATGCCGGAAACTGGAGTGATCTTGTTGCGGTTGATCTCCATCTCGCCCAGGGAGCAACTCTTGAGCATTCTGAGGGTCTCGCTACCAACCAGCCCGGATGCAGCTCCGGGATCAATGAGCAAACCATAGCGTTCTTGCCCATGGATGGTATGGTAGCTCATCTGTGTCTCTTCTTTCTTCATGTTGAAGACCATGAAGTTCATCTTGAGCTTCTTGTCATAGTGATCCTTCGTAGTATACTCAGGCTGACCTGAATATCCCTCAGTTGGCTTCTTGAAGTCCTCATCCTCGGATGACGTGTGGATCACGAAGCTCTCGGCCTTCTTGGTCGTCTTGACCTCCTTGGAGCTTGTGGCAACTTCTTGCGGAGTTGAGGCATCAGGAATGCCTTCGCTGATCGACAGACCACCACGAGGCTTGTAGTTGTCCTCCTCCTGGTAGGCGTAGTAGTGGCCTTTTCGACCAAAGCCTTTTCCTTTTCCTTTGCCTTTGCTTCTCCAAGGATGCTTGCTCTTGCCTTTGCTCTTTCCTTTGAAGTTGGGTCGCCATCTCCAGAAGCCTTTTGACTTTCATTTTCCTTTGTAGTTGTGGCTGCCCTTCTTGTTCTTGCCCTTGCCTAGTGGACAATCTCGAACTCGGTGGAACTTGCTGCCACAGTTGAAGCAGCCATCCTCACTGCCATTGCCTTTTCCTTTGTAATAGGCTTCGTTGTACTCGCCCGAGACATTGGAGTCGCTTGCTGAACCAGATGTCATGCCAGCCTCAAGGTCCACCTCTTGCCATGACTCATCGCTGGCATCATGGTTCTCGTAGTAGTTCTCGTCGTTGGCGTACTCCTCATAGACCCATTCACCTTCATCGGCCTCCTCATAGCCATACCACCATGAATCCTCGGCCTCATAGTCATCGCCCCAGTCCTGGTAGTAGGCGTCGTAGTCGCCATAGGACTCATCATTCTCTTCATGAGGATCTGGGCGTCATCAGGTTCTCGCCGATTAGGGTTGATGCGCAATGCCAGAGCTCGAGCGTCGTTGAAGCGAGTGTAGTCGCCAGCAACCTGCAGTTTGATGTCATCAACCGTCTTGGATGGCAAGCCAGAGTTCTTGAACCATAGGAAGAACTTGCCAACATCGTTCAACTGCAGTCCAGCTCTGTCATGAGCATCATCGTACCGGCTGTCGAACTCGACGCTGTATTCGGACAGGCTGAGCTTTCCTCTTGCAAGGCCAAAGAACTTGTCCAGTGCTTGTGTCGCCAGATCTTGGTCTTGCTGACCGAACGCCGTGCGGAGTGCATTGGCCAGGAATTGCACTCCTGAGGGGATGTGGTTCTGGATGATCACATTGGTCGCTGGGTCGCGGACTTCATCAACAGCTAGTCGAACCAGCGCTGCATCGCCAACATCGAAGGTGCCGTCTGGCCTTGGCACTCTCAAAGACATGGCGATCGTGGATGCTCGACCATAGAGTCGTCCAGCCACCAGTGGACCGATGGCTTCATCCTCCACATTGGCAATCCGGTACCAAAGCTTCAGCTTGTCGAAGTAGGTCCTCAAGGGATACGAAGCATCACCTGGAATCCAGCCCGGCGGAATGTCCCGCCGATACTCCTGGAGCGGAATGCTCCCAGAGCTGGGTGGATTCATAGTCAAGCAATCTTGTAATCGATGGAGTCCACGGGGCCTGTGATGAGGTTCTCAAGGATGTAGTATTTATTCCTCTTGGGTTCAACCCCAAGTGAGGTAGTTTTCTGTGTTGTTTGTTCCTCTTGGGTTCAACCCCAAGTGAGGTAGTTTTCTGTCCTCGTCAGAGCCTTCTGACTTCTCTTGCCACCGACAGAGCAGGATCTCGATCTCCTCCTCCAAAGGCCCTGCAGACCAGAGCCTACCGCGCAACTCGCGGTAGCAGCCAAGCCGAGCGCCAGCAGCCTATGGCGGCGCTGGAAGGATCGGCAACGGAGCACTAGGCTCCGCTACCAAACTCGACAGATTTGTGCCCAAGGCGCCTGCGGTATCGTGTCATGTGAAACAAGTTCTACACTTGATCATAGCCATAAGGCCGTGAGGCATGACTGCACAATTTCACTACCTCTATATAAATACACTTTCTCGCAGATCAAGGATATCGTCATGGAGAGCTTGTCGTTTACGCCTCACAGTTGTTTGGGGTGATCATGACAATAACAACATCTGGATCATCTGAAGCAATAGTGGATCTTAAGACACAACTAAATAAGGATCTTGGTAATATTGGTGCCATTGAGTGGGTTGCAAAGCAGGTCTGTCTGTTGCCGATGCTCTTCCCGCAACACCCACCTCTTTCAGTGTGAGTAGAGGTCAGGTATCTGGGAGATTCCTTACCAGGAGAGATACATATTGTAGATGTCCAAGGTCTTAACAAATTGCAAACAGCCTGGCAAATTAGATCACTGCGGACCCTTTTGGGAAGATCAGCCGATGATCAGCCGATTCAGTTAGCAGCTCGAAAAAAGACCTCTTGACCTGCTTTGAAACACACGTTACTGCAAATCTGAGTTTCCCAGGGACCAATGGAGCAGCAGTCACAGCACCAGCACCAGCATCAGCCCTCCTTCTCCCAATCGTCCTCTTCCTCGGATTCCTCTTCTTCCATGTCAAACGAACTGGCACGATATATGAGCGGTGTCGTTCTTCACCGGCCACCGGTCACTATTCTTCTAACAAAAACAAAACAAATGTGAGACGTCAAAAATTGGACCCAAGGACCATTGCTTTTGCTTTTGTTGTGCATGTTGCAGATGGTTTGAATCGGTATGCTGGCTATGTCAACATTAAGTATCTTAGTTAATGATAAGGAACATCTTGACCATGGCTCGCCTATCTCACACATACCATTCCACCTCAAGGAAACTGGCTGAAGCTTGTTTCTGTAAGACGGGAGACGATCTGTGAATCAAAATAGCACATTAGCACATTGATGCATCAAGCCGAAGCCCTCAGTTGCTTCAGAGATTGCTAGGATCTTGTTTTTTCCCCAAAATCTACCTGTCAAAGGGATTTGGGTTAGGAGTGTACGTTTTAGTGCTGGTTGGGTAGGGGGTGACCCCTATAGTTTTTCGATGTTGTTCGGGATTTGTCTCCTGTCGCATCTGGGGTGTGCCGGTGTGCCCAAACATCGCAAATGGAGGCACCTCTTCTGAGATTCTGCATGAAAAATTATGTCTTTCAATCATTCTATGAGATGCTGAATAATTTGTGGTGTCAAAGTGGGGGGATTAAATTCCAAGAGGTGGTCAGTACAGAACCCCATCTACTGTGAAACATCTAAGGCGTTGTGCCATCTACTGTGGAACGATGTGAAACGACTGTAACTCAAACATAACACAATTGACCCAACTGACCCAGCTTTCACTTTGCTTTGGTTTTGCGAAAGCACGTTCGCCCCCTCCACCCCGCGTTGGCACCGCCTGTGTGCGCGATAGCCTGTCCCAGAAAGCGACATAGGGACAATGCTCTGGAAGCCAAAGATATTTGTGCTTCTTGTTACTACTAGTAAGGCACTTGTTACTAGAAGCGACGCACTTGTTCCTAGTAGCTTCTTGTTACTACTAGTCTTCGAAAGTACACTCAACCCTTCATGAGATCAAATTCACATGTTCGTCTTTCAGAGAAAAAAGACATCAGAAAGCCCGGAATATCCTGCATTGATAAACCCATGAATTCGGCTCCATATCCTCTCATGCCTTGTGTTCTGAAGACTACGATTGAAAACATGACTGGTGCCTGGCTGGGTGTGTGTTTGTCTGTGTGTGTGTGTTTCAAGGTTTCAAGTAAGAGTATAAAGTATAAACAAAACATATCAAAAGTGTATCAAGGTGAATAACTGCCGAAACTTGGCACCGCACGCGATTGAAGTGCGTCCGCATTGGAACCTTGGCATGGAGAGTAACTGCCACCGACTACAATCCAATGGGGAAGTTCCGACCCCACCCCACCCAACATCGGCAACAAAAAATGATGTTCAGATGTACCAAGATGCTGGGCGATTGCAAAACAGTTCAGCCATTCTCCCACTCTCGCACGCATACAAACACATGCACCAAAGCAAAAGAGAGAGAGAGAGAGGAAGACACAGGGAGACGCCTTCAAAGTCCATGTCACACCGACCAATCAATTGTAGTAGTTGATAGTAGTTGCATATCCGTTGGTTCGGTTTCCGGGCGAATTCATCCTGATCATTAAAGATTAATCCTTATCTGACGCCAATCGAATTCCTGTGACTGGCCAACACTGCTCCATCGATCGCTTGAATCATTAATCCCAGTGGCTCTCCGAGGTTGAACTCTCATCGGACAGCTCCTGCAGGTTGAACTCTCGGCTCTTTTCCCTTTCGAACCTACACCCCAGGTGTCTGGCCATCCTGAAAAAAGCAATTCGATGGGTGCGGTGCGGCTCCAAAAAAATGCTGCTTCCGCTTACACCCTCACTATATGTGGAGCACGGTTAAGAACATATGGGGAAATGCTCGGCTGTATCCATGGTCTATTGAGTCTATTGTTTGGGGTTACTCTCCACTACTTGGTGGCACCTGGGTGGCTCCGGCGACGACTGGTCGCGCGGCGGGCGCCTTGATGCAGGAGGGTCGGCGGATGGAAAGCCGTCGACCGCCGTCGAACCAACCACCCTGGCGGTTGGTGGGAGCGCGCCCAAGGGGCGTCGACATACGAAATCCATGAACATCCGTTCTAGGTGGTGAATTGCTTTATATATTTTGTTTTATTTACGGTGCCCAATCGTCTATCTTGGGATATATCGTTCATGATGGGAGACCCCTATCGCCCCTATCGCCCGGAACCCAGATGAAGTCCTCGAGCATGGTTGACAGCAAAGTTTCAAAATGACGCATTTCAACAAATGTTGCACCACGTCAAGAAACATAACTTGGATATATACCACAAACAACCACAAACAAAGCAATTATATACTAAAGGAGGTCGTTTCTTTAGTCAGTAAAATTTGACAAGAACATGTACTGGCAAATATTGACAATGTATTGGCATCATAGGGCTCGCAGACAAGAGTCAGTGAGCACCTGCCAAATAGCTTGGGGAATTCGGACGCATCATGCCAACCCTCGAGCCAATTATGGACAAGATGCTGTTAGTTCAGTTGGTCAAAAAAAAGAACTGTTTGGGGCAGTGGATTTAAACCTGCTTGCATTACGTCGAAGAACACAACCTCACACTGCTAAGCAAATGCTTGACAATATCCTTATATAAACTCATGGGTACAGCATGGTACAGCCCATCCACACAGTTTCCTCCCTCACAAGACAGAGCCACTCAATTCAGAGTTAAACGGGGCGATTCCCATACTCTCCATTTGACCGCCAAACTGCCTGTGGTAGCTGGCGAAGTTTCGCACGGAAGAGCTCCTGGTCCGAGTTCAAAAGTGCTGTACCACAACCAGGATCAACCAAGAGTGGACAAATTCCTAACGAATTGCTTAAAGGCCTCAGCAAAACTATATGAAGCAATGCTCGCAAAACTCCGATGTTGTACTCCATCCATCCACGGATGAACCACCAAGCGTTAAGCTTTAATAGCGACTTCTACAATTGCATTCACTTGATGTATGTGAAATCCACTCTAGATTGCAATTCTGTCATAGCTGAAATTCAATGTGGGCAGCTCAGCAGGATTCATCTTCGATTTGTTCACTGGAGTTAAAATGGGCCATATTTGCAATCTCAGGACCTGTGTATTGTTCCAGTGTCTCAACAGCTGTGATGTTGACAGTTGCACCAGTGGAACACTATCATAGATATTAATGGCTGGAACTAGCATGAAGATGAGGTGCCAAGTGCTTCCAAATGACGAGGAGCCGTGAGGCACCATCGTGCGCGAACAAGATTGGAGAAGTCCACAGAGGTCACAGAGTCCACAGAGGATTTCCTTTGATTAGCTTCTTGCTAGCAATGGCCTCCAACCTAACAGCGATGGCCTCCACCTAGTAGTTTCCTGCTACTAGAGGAAACACGAGGACACTCAAAATCGAACCTGCACTGGATTCGAGGGGACATTGCTGGTGATCTGGTCTGAAGGTTTCCACGGTGAGGATGTTGTTCTTTTTTTTGCTTGGCCTGTCAAAGATCTCGAAAACCCATGCAATCAATGGGGAAGAAACTCGTCTTCATGCGGTTGTTCAACGCATGTATTGTGGTTGCTGAGTTACTGTCAATGCAAAAATTTGCATCATCGCCATCGGCATTACCATTCATTACATTGGTCTCTCGTGATAGGCAAGAACAGCCATGTGCTTCGCAAGCTCCCACAAGATGTGCTCCACCTCCATCTGGATGCTTCATACTTTTTTTGTTTCCCCCTAGGCTTATATTTACCTGGGTGTGCCGTGAAAGCGCCGGGGCTGAGGCCATCAGGCCGCACTTGAAGCGACCACACAATTGAAAAATAACGATTGTGCTCAGTGTTCTGAGCCAAGAACTCCACATGAATCACATGATCAACATGCCAGCATTGTGTTTTTCAATCTGAACAATTTCGGAACATCAACGCGGAACACCTCGTAGGAGCATAGATACGTTACTATCCGTATATGAATAGCTGAGTCTTGAAGATTTGGGACAATCATACCAATGTACAGTATACCAATTGTGTGCAGAATCCGCCATACAAACGACTCAATCCCTCAATGACTCCTGCAGAAGTTGCCTCAAGGCACGCTGATCGCTTGGGCCCACGTGCTGCAGGGAGACCTATCAGGTTGAGAAAACATGTTTGAACTCCCAGACAAAAACAAAAAAATTAAAAGGATTGAAAAGGGTAATTTCACTGCTTTTGTTGTTGGTGGTTGTGGTTGTGGTTGTGGTTGGTGGGTTGGTGGGTTAGTGGGTTGGTTGGTGGGTGGGTGGGTGAGTTAGTTAGTTAGTTAGTTAGTTGGTTGGTTGTTGAGTAGTTGGTTGTGGGTCTCCACTGTGCCTGCGCTAAACGCATCACACCTAGAGGCAACCTCGCGAAGGATTGGGCAAGTTGTTCTCTTTTTTCAAACAATGAAAACGAAATCCTAGCTTGGAGGAAACTCATTGCGGTGTTGCTTTGAACGCTGTTTTGACTGCATGCTACATGGGCACAGCTCAATCAGCAAGAAGGACAGCTGAAATGCTTACCTTGTCAAACAATCCTTGGCAACGGTGCTCTGGCTCTGAGTTGATCGAACAATTATTTGGCGAGATCCGAGAGCTCGAATCTCAAAGAAGTCCCAGTGGAGCACGTTGGTTTGTCACATAACAGTACCAACCTCACCAGCAGCGGAAGGCATTCCCCCCCTTTGTGAGCCTTGCAAAAGGCCTCTTGCACAACTTCTTCCTCTGCGGCTTCATCCAAATCATGGACAGAGGCCTTGCCAGAGATTCCAATGGTGGTCGGATGATGTTGGTCAGTGGCCCCCTATCTCTTCATGTGTGAATAGTGTGTGCGCGCGCGTACGTGTGCGTGTGCGTGTGCGTGTGCGTGCGCGTGCGCGTGCGCGTACGTGCGTGCATGCGTGCGTGCATGCGTGCGTGCATGCGTGTGTGCGTGCGTGCGTGCGTGGGTGTGTGTGTGTGTGTTTGTCAACACCTGTTTCTAAGGTTTTACCTGGCAATTTTTACCGTCGGTTCCACTAGAAGGCTGGGTGCTACTAGTAGTTTCTGACCTTACTACTAGGACCAAAACAAGCAGGGGGCCACAGACCTGCCACTGCTGCTGTGGCCAACGAAGACCGGCAGTGGCAGGTGTGAAAACGTACCTGCAAAACTGTTTAAAACTGTTCAAAGCGGCTAGTGCATAGGCGGTCTGCTAACGGCTAATGCATAGGCGGTCTGCTAGGTATTCAGTAAAGCGGCTACTGCATAGGCGGTCTGCTAGGTATTCAGTAAAGCGGCTAATGCATAGGCGGTCTGCTAGGTATTCAGTAAAGCGGCTAATGCATAGGAGCTGAACCTTTTGTTAAAACACCTTCAAATGCTTGGACCTATCGCCTTTCCGTTCTTTCGCCTTTCTTCCACCTGGGAATTGAGTTAACAGAAAACAAATGTCAGAGTGTGAACCGCTCAGTCGTCCCACTTGGGTGCTGGGTGTGATCCCCGTCACTGGGGCGCTGAATTCATGCTGGAAATCGTGTAACGGATTTTCCTTTTCCACCAATCCTTGGATTCTCTTAACTGCCCACTTTTCACTACTGGATTGACTGTCTCAACAGCCGCCGGGCTTTCACGGAAATTCCAAGTTTCATGGCATGGGGTTGCGTTGGAACTGGAGACTCGACTAGGAGACCCTTCAAAAAGTTTCCACGGTGAACGGTGAGACACGGCACCCCTCCCTACCCCCAGGCCTCCGTTGCTATCCCACCCGCTATTCGGGCAACAGAAGGAAATCGCACTCAACACACTTGTGTGTTGGTGCCTTTCCTTCTGTTTCTCCTATCTATTGCTAGCTACCCGAGCGGTCTAAGACAAAGGTCCCGCACGCGAGCTACTTTCATTTAACTAAATGGGCCCCGTAACTACACCTTTCTTTCTTTCTTGCCCTCTTAGTCTGCTTTTGTTTTGTTTTCTTTGTTTGTCTTTCTAAGGCTTTTTAGGTGACTAGTAATTTTTCCGCCGCGCCAGAACTGGCGCTATATGTACAAAGTTGTTGCACACAGAGCGCCGATAGCGGCACTATGTGTGTGTGTCAACACCTGTTTCTAAGGTTTTACCTGGCAATTTTTACCGTCGGTTCCACTAGAAGGCTGGGTGCTACTAGTAGTTTCTGACCTTACTACTAGGACCAAAACAAGCAGGGGGCCACAGACCTGCCACTGCTGCTGTGGCCAACGAAGACCGGCAGCGGCAGGTGTGAAAGCGTACCTGCAAAACTGCTTAAAACTGTTTAAAGCGGCTAGTGCATAGGCGGTCTGCTAGGTTTTCTGTAAAACGGCTAATGCATAGGCGGTCTGCTAGGTATTCAGTAAAGCGGCTACTGCATAGGCGGTCTGCTAGGTATTCAGTAAAGCGGCTAATGCATAGGCGGTCTGCTAGGTATTCAGTAAAGCGGCTAATGCATAGGAGCTGAACCTTTTGTTAAAACACCTTCAAATGCTTGGACCTATCGCCTTTCCGTTCTTTCGCCTTTCTTCCACCTGGGAATTGAGTTAACAGAAAACAAATGTCAGAGTGTGTGTGCGTGGCTGCAAGGGCGATATCATTGTTCCTGAGAAGGAAGGACACAAGCTAGCTCAAATTGATGAGTCAGCGAGCACATTTAGAATGCAAATCCGAGCCCATCGGTGGCATTCTGAGGACTATAGATTCAAGAATGCTTAAAAGAGTGACTCTCATGTGATTGACCGAGTCCATCACGTGAAGGGCTATACAATGCATAATGTATATATAATATAGAGAGAGAGAGTCCCTGGTTTTGCAAACAACGGAGTCCAGGACAAGCTTACATTCCCCAAAGTGGCAAACTGTCCAAACGACAGCTTAAGAGCGGTGAAAGCCTGTTAGAATTCTCATTTGTCGGTAGCTTTGCCACAACCTGGTGGTTGAGAGTGTTGGGTCTTGGTTGATGGAAGCAAGAGAGCAGAAACGCATCGGCTTCCCGTGGCGCATCGGCTTCTCAGTAAGGAGGGTTTAGAATGTTTAGAATAAATCTGAATTCCAAGACACTCAAAAAGAAGAAAACATACAACATCATACAACACGCAATGAATAGAGAAATGCAGTAAACTCAGATCATCTGGTGGGACAAACCAAAAAAAAACGAGGCAATTATTTTCTGGGCGAAGAAAAACTGATGCAAACGGCTGTTGCCCCTGTCGGGAAGTGGGAAGTCCAGGGTGCTGTCCATGGGTGTTGTCTGTTTGCACATTTTCTGAACCGCACCTTGATATCAGCAGCAGTCTCCGTGAAAGTCCTGGCACGTTTTTTTAGCTATCCATGAACAGTCGAGGGTGGGAGACCAAACTGTGATCCTCCATGTTCAACAAGTTTGCTCATTTTTGTCTTGTGGTCTATGCTTTAACATATTATATTTACAATTATTTATACAATATTACAATGCTGGTGACCCTCTGCTGTCAAGAAACAATCCAACTGGTGGAGAATCAGGTCCGGACCTGATGAAGTGCATGGTCACAGGCGTTGAAGCAATACTTCTGGCCTGATCACCAAGGTCTCCCGGTGGTTGGAGATTTAATTGAGAATTAGGCAATCGAAGTCACCCTTTACTCTAGTGGTATACTGGCACTTGTTGGCTGGTGCTCAACTGCAGTAGTATCTTATATATATATATTTATGTATATTACTGTGTAACTACAACGACAATATAAGACAATGCTATATTTGATGCATTATTCGGTTTTTGTGGTGGCAGTCTGCCTTGAGACATCCTGTACTGCTGCCGAAAAAAAGGGAACATGAGGAGCTTGGAGAATTGAGATGTATATAATGCAGAACAAAAGTTTTGCCCTGGTTGGCTGCTTCGTGGTCTTGTCCAAAGTCCACCTCCAAAAGGACGGGACTTG